AGCACCAGAGTGTTGAGCGATTGCGTGCTGCGTTTGGTGATGGTGCACCCTCAAGAACCACTACGTTTGAATGGTTTGCGTAATTCAAGCCTCATAGGCGGTCCCTGGATGATGAAGCCCGTTGTGGTCTCCTTGTGGTGACCACTGCGGGCAACATTGCTGACGTGCAAGCGATGATGAAGGATGACCCACGGGTGACTGAGGTACGGCCTGGGAAAGCCATCGGAGTCTTAACAGGATCAATCCGCACCAGGCTACATGAGAATCATGGTCTCAGAAAAGATTGCACACGCTGGGTGCCCATTAGCTCAGTAAGGATTAGAAAGCAGCTGGGATGAGTTGGTGTTGCACCATGCTTGTCGGGCTTGATGGTGGAAGTTCCAATGCTGAGACACCCTCAGAGGTGATGAGATCTAGATGTACAGTTTCGACCCAGGGACAAAGCAATAATCGGATCAGTGGACGGCCATTGGTGGGGCGCTGCCTCAGAAATTCCGGCGTGAGCGCAGTGTGGCCAAGCAGATGGTGGCCACTACCGACCATGTGACTACTGTAGTGATCCTGCGGCAAGGCACAGGCACCGGAGACTGGTATGCCACCCACTGTCTGTCACAAGTGGTGGAAGCTGTAGCCAGGCGTCGTCTAAAGACTGGAGCACGAGAGCCCTTGCTGCATCATAACAACACACCTGCACACAGGTCCCATGTCGTCGTAGTGTTTCTGGCTGCAGAACGCTTCCAGGTGGTTGGTCACCGATGTTACAGTCCAGATCTGGCTTTGTGTGACTGTGTTGTGCTTCTAAATGTCAAGCATATAATACGTGAAACATGCTACGAGTCTCCCGAAGGCGCAGCAGAGGTCCTTATTGAGCGTTTTGAAGGGTTATCTGTTCCGGTATGGTCTAACTGCTTCCCCAAATGGTTTGAGAGCATGGAACTGTGCATGAACGCTGGTGGAGAGTAGTTTAAGAAAATGTAATACTTATTTTCTTGTTGGAAATAAAAATATTTGTGCATTCGGAAACTTATTGCTCTACCCTTGTATGATGATATTAACTTTCAACTAATGGTATTTATCACTTATTCAAGCGAACAGCATCACTGATCCATATTGAATGCAACTTTATGAACGAAAAGCTGACGAAGCAGTAAAAGTGATCGTTCCACAAAAAGGGACATATCCCACCCATCAAGATATATACCCATTTATACGTTTATTTATTTAATATCGTCGTTCTGGTTTCCATCTTCATTATTCAATCTAACCTGACATTTTAATGAAAAAGAATGTGTATGAAAATCGGTAATGTGCGACTACTGCTATGCTTGCAAAATTAGTTGGTCACCCCTTGGTATTCATGATTTGTTCTCGACGGTATCAAGCGAGGCATGTAGTATGGTTGCACCACAACTAATTTAAATAAGTCCATTAAAACGTCTGTCTGATTATCAATTTCCTTGAAGCATGCTTTTGGCAGATAAATGAACCGCGATTTCTCTTTTGCTGACAAAGTGGTTAAATTTTCCATGTCCCCCTGATCGATAACTTGGCTCGCTGTGAGTAAATTTCCATTGAATCCGTAACCACATTATCACCATCAATCTCTAACAAGACTCCCATGGGGAAGTGATATTAATATCGAATGAGTACCTTTTCGTCAGCCGTTCACTAGACATCGTTGCCCCGTAAACATACAATCCCCAAGCGGTCGATTCCTATGCCAAAATGTCTACACTGTGTGACAATCAAACACAGTTACACTGCGCACGGATGCCCATCGTGGTATGACACAGGCTTTTGCTCCCGTAAAGTAGCGAGTTCACTGTCAATAAATTTCCCTTGTTTGGCGATAATGCTGATCTCAGTGAATGCAGATCAATATTTACAATAAGTTGTGACGCTTGTGGTTTGCATATGCCTAACTATCTTTGGTCACCTGACACCACCGCTAACAGCCTGTTGCCTACTCTGGACATTGGCATTCGACATAGTTTCAACAACCTCCAAAATGGTATACGCAATTATGTGCGTCCAAGCGTGATTGCATTTCATACGCCCCGTCAGATTGTTCTACCATCCCACAACTGTAAATCACTACCGCACTCGGCGGGTGCAATTTGCTTGCGCATTCAGGCGGAGCAAATGAGATCTTACCGGGGCAGTGAAGGTTGCAAACTCCATGAAAGCACTGACGTATCCAAGTTGTGAGCCCAGTTTTCCCTTTCCTAGCCATATACAAGCGCTACTAGAATAACGAAGTGAGCACGCTTCCTGGCATGGCAACAGGATAGAAGGGAGTCGGGTTCAGTAGTCAAAAACTTCTGCGTAATCAGTGGCATAGAATTAAAGCTATGTGCACAAAGTCCAATTGCCATTTTTCTTGTGGCATACGGAAATTTCAAATTTCACACTTTAATTTGAATACCAACTATTTGTACGCGATGGGATTGTTGCAAGTTTATGACGCAATGCATATAGTTAACCTGAAGCAGGTTCTTTCAGAATAGGAGAAGTTTAAGGTTACCAGCTCATGAATGCTAAGGCAAATCGGGAAAACTTTTCATTCCAGCACATATCGGCAGGTACAGACGAAAGGTGGAAGAACATTATGTCACTGCTGACCAGATGCTACTTAGGCTGAAAGTAAGTCGGCCGGTGGCCGAGTGGTCTGCACGTTTGCTTTGCAACCATAAGGTCACCGGTTCGATTCCGCGTAGGGGTGGGCGTCCTCGCGGTATACTCAGCCCGCGCGCGACTGGTGGTGGTTGCGCGGCAGCGAAACGCCCTTACGGCGTACAGCTGGCACATTATTATTATTATTATTATTAGGCTGAAAGTAAAGCAAATCTTTAGACCAAAAGGTTGATAAGGTTTAATTGATAAATCGATAGGCTACTTTTCTATGTCATCTGCTAAGCGATACTACACAACTGATCAGTAGAAGCGGCATTGAACTCTAGGCCATCCAGCAGTGTCGTCTGTTTCTTCAGATGCAATGCGGCTGTAAGTAGAAGGTAGCAGATCAACTCCAAACAAGCAACCCAGCGACTTGAAGTCAATACGACCATTCAAAGGAGGGAAGGCACAACAGGAAATAGAAGAAAACCAAATCAAAGGCGAATGCTGAGTGGCATACCAACCGCTGAAAGCAGTCATGCAACGTGAGGATTCAGTAAACAAGATATGATGTCTTGTTAGTTTAATGCGTTACTACGAGTTAATGTGTGGGAAATTCACGCAGTAAAACCAGTTGCGTTTGAAAAGCAAAGTGGAAGGAGGCAAAATCGAAACTGCACCGGAAATATACAGTAGTCAATGTTGGTTGCAGACTAGCAACTTGTTGAAGTCTATCGGGAAGAGAAAAATTTTTAAGTATTCGGCAGCTGAGCAACGTAAAATTAACCGAGGTTAGCTAATCGGAATCTGACAACTCCAGGCACCATAAGGGCACCCACAAATACAGAGTGCAGACTGTCAACTATAAAGACCCACAGACAACTCGCTTCTTGTCTGACCTGTTGAAAACACTACCCCACTGGTGTTCGAAAGAATCTGAAGCTAAAACCACCACAGAATAGTTCAAACTGATCATCTGACACAGATAAGTATAGTCAAGATTTATAGAAGCAGATGATGCCCGGTGGGTTAAACTATGGGGTATGTAAACACGATTAACAGTGGCCGAAAGTAGAATCGGAATAGCTAGATGGTGGGTGCTGCCCACCACAAAACAAGGCATTCTGGAGTGTTGACAAACATTTGGAAGACAAATTATTAGTTAGACACATACCGAGAGTCCGCATCGTTGCATGTATCGAGTTGGACGATGTGTTCTTTCACTTAGGAAAAAGCATAGTAGCAAAATATCCGGAAAAGTTTTGCTTTAACGCCTTCGAGTCTTCGCAGTGTTGTATTCATTATACATACTTTCTGATATCATTACTAATTTAGATTTTTCAAGCGAATCATAGTTGCCAGGAGCATGCTTAAGCAGTTCCAGCAAAATTCGTCACCGCAGAGAAGCAGTTTGTCATAGTGGGCAAATTAATATCAGATGTGCTCCAATATCAAACTGGTTAGCGCTTTATTCGGAGAGGCATTTGACTAGTGGATTTGCGGTACTCCCCTCGCCCAACACTGCAACGCAAGATCACTTTCGTCCTGATTTGTGTTGTTTAAATAAATAGCCCGAGCTTAGATTGGAACCCGACACGTAATGTTTGACGGCTTACACCTTGGTTCCTAGATCAGAGCACCGTGAGCAGGGACTGACACAGCGCTAATAACAAATAACATTTGACCATTTAAAATGTGCTTCTAACAGGCTGCAGTCTTAGTCGGTATTCCATGTAGCATCAAAATTTTCGTACGAGTAACTGTTGACTGCATAAAATGAAGCGACTTTCGTAACCACAGTGGTGACATCGTTACTGACCTATTCCGAATCACATTTCTTATGCGAGAGGGGCTATGACTCCCAGTTGGTCCCATTTGCGTACATTTTATATTCCAATAACATCAATTTCGACTGAACCCATGTTCAAGAAACAAACGTAGATTTTCTTAAAGCCCAATGCGTTCAAAGCCGCTGTCTGCTTGACTGTGGTTACTTGGCATTACAGAAAGGTTACGCTGATTAAAAGTGCCACATTTGTACACTTCTTCACCGTTATACTAATCACCTGTATTGAAATGTCGAGTTTTGTAAACTTCAGCATCCGAAATAGAAGGAAGAGTTAATCATTAAATCATCCAAACAGTACACAATTCCTACCCGACCATAACACTACATTACAGAAGACAAATGTGTGTGTGTGTGTGTGTGTGTGTGTGTGGCCGGAACATTTCTTCAGCAAAACGCGTGCTCTCCCACTCATTGTTTTGTCAATCAGATATTGCAGAGGTCAGCTAGAAGGAATGTCTATATTTTTGTTATGACCATTGAAGCCGGGTTCTATGTTCATCCCTAAAGATCATTTTGCACCCTCTTGCGTTTACAGGTCACGGGGGCATCAACCAATTGGGTGGCGTCTTCGTCAACGGTCGTCCTTTACCCAATCACGTACGGCAACAGATTGTCCGACTGGCCAATCAAAACGTCAGACCGTGTGACATAAGTCGGCAGCTCCGAGTATCCCATGGATGTGTGAGCAAAATACTTGGGCGGTAAGTGGGAGGAAGATGGAACCAAACGACAGTCAGGGTAATCTATGTGGTTTTCTTAATATTTGCAAGGATATGAGTATATTTTGTGTCAGAAAGTTCATCGCCAAAAACGTGCGCAGGTTTGTTACATTTCACGTTGTGCGTGGGGACATACTCGCCTGCATACATTCGGGGATTGTAAGTGTCACCCTTGTGGCAGTCAGTCTCAGCAACCGCTACGCGGGGTGGACAGACAATGATACCAGCGCAAAGACACACACAAACGCCTATATTCAGAAGCATCGACAACGACTACATACAAAAGAGGAGCTTTCCGCTCTCCAAAGTAACCGTTTGAGAGTATGAGGGAAGCAAACTAACATTGTTACTTTCAAAACTTGACTCTAGACCAGTTAGCTCGGTGGGCTGGAGTAAACCACGGAAAGAATTAGACGTGGTAACAAAATACAATGAATCAATAACTGGTCGATTGGACAAGTTCCTAACGGTGTAGGCGTAGAGCTCATAGCTGGTGCTCATTAAGTGTGAAATGTATAGCAACCACGGTGTTCTCAATGCTTTTCGCTTCAAATAGCGCAACCTATCAGCCGCCTTCTTATAATTCAGATTTAGTGCATAGGCCCTGCAAATTATGCTCGTAAGGTTTTATATTATGTACTACAGAGTCTTGGCTTTACCGACTGGTATCCGTTATTTATGTAAAACAGGATAGAGAGCCGAACCCATCCCTCACCTGTACCAAAAATGAAGCAGATGTTTTCTTATCAAAATATATAACGCACTTTTCCTTCTATCAGTATATGGAAATTCCACTACACCATCCAGACGGACTCGGAAGTACATAAGCTTTATCACTCTAACTAAATTGGTGAGCAATATTCAAATACCTGAAATTGAACCCGTGTATCAACATATTCAATGTTTGGTTAAAGACTGCTTGGTATCTTACCGATAATTATATAGTTAATGTCCAAATTCGTCAAAGGAACGGAAACTATGAAGTACCCACCAACCAGTACTATGTGTTGGAAACATGGGTGCGTATTGTTCTGTCTCTGGTGTAAGGACATTCATCGAGGCTACTTGCTCGTTCTAATAATCAAAGGAGTTAGGCGGTAGCTTCACTGCATAGTGCATCAAATGCCAACAACAAAATAAACAAGACTACAGACAGAAAAGTTGAATTTCGTCTATATTGTGATTTGCCCCTTTGTTCTTCCCTCGCACACCAGAAATAGCATGATTAGCGAACTGAAAAATCTACATCAGTATTTCGCAGGAGCAACAGCTTCGCAACATGAGGTTCTGCTACAGCTACAACGTCTAACCCAAACGGCAAAATCAACAAAAAGTCGGGTACTTAGAAAACCTGAAAAAGTAGGTACATTGCTGCAACTACTCAAAAGAAAGAACCCTAAACCCAAAAATGAAATTGAAACGTTGGCACTGGACCATATTTCAATAACGTGCGACATCTGCATATGCGAGGCTATCCATTCTTTGTCCCCAGCACTCAGCTGTTTCATCCTCCCGTTCCAAAAGTAGCAAACGAGCTACTCGGTAATACTCCTGTGACGTTGAGAGAAGTTTAACATGTAATCGCATCCATAAAACCATCAACTCTGCCATGCCCAGAAGGCATCGCTTCAACCGTTCTCTAATTTGAAATAAATGAGAATATCCGTAGCCCGGGATGTGGATGCGGATTTTGAGCGGTTCTCCGAGCTGAGTGATTATTATGCAGACGTTTCGTTGCCTGACTAGGCAACATCATCAGTGCGGTTTCAGGGGCCTGGTTCGCAGTGTCTCGTAAGCGACTTCAATGTCCAAGTGCTTATTGCTCGAGTACTGCTTTGAATGCCAGGCTTCAATGAACTCACGTGCTCGCCGGCTTTAGCCCTTCCGAGGATATTGGCATGCTCTATGTCGAATTGATGGTTCTCAGCATCCATGTGCACTGACATCAGGGAGTTCTGATCGTGGCGACGTATGGCTAAGCTGTGTTCGTGTAGCCTTGTGCCAAGCGTTCTCCCCGTCTGTCCCACATAGTAATTGTCGCAATTCCGGCAGCAGATCCTATAAATCACACCAGTTTCTTCTTCTTTGCTAAATTTATCTTGCACCTTGAGGAGTTTACTGCGAATGGTTTCCGTTGGCTGGTGTGCAACTTTGACTCCAAAAGGCAAGAAAAGCCTCGCTGCCATTTCAGAGATACCGTTGATATAGGGAAGTGTTTTTCTCTTTTCAGCTGGTACATTTGTCGAGGTGTGTTGAGTAACCTTTTGTGATGCGAGACAGCGTAGAATGAAGCCTTTTGGGTACGAGTTCCGCTTGAACAGGTTGAAGAGATGATCTTCCTCTGCCCGTCTCAGCTGCGGTGTGCTACAGTGGTTTTGTGCTCGTTTGAAAAGGGTTTGCACGCAGCTGCGTTTGTAGGCTGCCGGATGATTGCTGCCGTAGTTGAGGATCTGGTCCGTATGCGTAGATTTTCGGTAGACTGTTGTTTCCAATCGTTCAGCACCAGTCCTTCGTATGAGAACGTCTAAGAATGATAACTGTTCGTTGTTCTCCTCCTCCCTGGTGAATTGGATGCCATCGAACACACTGTTGATTAGTTCGTGTGTTTCCTCCAATTTGGAACGTTTGAGGATGACGAAGGTGTCGTCCACGTATCGTACCCAAAGTTTTGGTCCCGCGATCGGAAGTGCTATTTGTTCCAGCACCTGAATCACTGCCTCGGCTATTAGACCAGAGATCGGCGATCCCATTGGTGTGCCACTTATCTGTTCGTAAATTTGGCCATTGTTAGACAGAATTCCAATAACTCCATCATCTGTTTGGGTTCAGGTCCACTGTTTGTATCAGACGACGTGTGCTCCCCTAGCAGGCGCGTCATTGTTTGTTTCGCCAAGCCAATGTCGATTGAAGTGAACAAGGCAGTAACATCGAAAGAGACCATCATTTCGTCTCGTTCAGTGGTTGCGGTTTTAAATTTCTCAAGGAACTGTTCTACCGAGTTGATCGAGTGTTCCGATCGCGCGATCAAGTGTTTTAGCCTTCTCCAGAGCTCTTTTGCAAGCCTGTAATTTGGTGCTCCATGTAACGACATGATGGGGCGAAGCGGCACTCCGCTTTTGTGTACTTTAGGTAAGCCATAGAACCGCGGTAGTACCGAGTCTTGTGGTCGCATCCTCTTGTGTTCCAATTTTGTGATTTTTCCCATTTGTTCCAGCTTCTGCAGAGCGCGTCTGATGTTGCCTTCTAAGCGTTTTGTCGAGTCTTCGTTTATCGGCTGGTATGTGTTGGTATCACTGAGTAGGTGTTGCGCCTTCATCATGTAATCAGATTTGTCCATTATGACAGTAAGGCGTCCTTTGTCGGTCGGTAGTATAACTATGCTCTTTTCTTTCTTGAGGTTCTCCAGAGCTTTCCGTTCAGCGGCGTTGAATATGTTGGTTTCAGCTTTATGACTGAGAGCCGGGATGATTCTGTGTCTGATCATTTGTTGTGCTTCAGGCGCGATGTTGTACGATTTGAGGGTCAATTCAAGTGCAGCGAGGAAGTCGATGGGATTGGAGTCCTTAATATGGAGTTGCATACCTCGGACAATAACTGATATTTCCGCGTCCGTTAATCCTCTTTTGGATATGTTTGCAATCCAACCATCGTCTTCCTTAGGTGGTTTCTTTTGCGAGATCGAATTTAGCTTCTCTTCAAGCCTCCGTTTGGCGTTTATCTTTGTCTTGTGTGTTTTGACGGCTATCACTTTTTCCAATTCTTCCGTCAATTGTGATCCTAGTCTGGATAAGCAAATTGCTTTCCGTTCGTTAATCACCATTTGGTATTTGTGCTTTCGACTGTGTGCGTCTGTAATCAACAGGCGCAACATTCTTCGCCCATGTTGTTCCGTTATCTTCCAAGCCAAAGGATGGTTGATCGGAGGACGGTAATGCAGACTCAGCAGCAAAACCTGCCTTCGCAAGCATTCGTGGAGGAAATAAAGCTGATTGTCAGTGGATGATTGCCGACTGGCGAATGTCTCCCATCGGCGAGCAGATTTTAGCGCGTCGCACCCAAATTGATTTGAAATAAATAAGAATATCCGTAGCTCGGGATGTGGATGCGGATTTTGAGCGGTTCTCCGAGCTGAGTGATTATTATGCAGACGTTTCTTTGCTTGACTAGGCAACATCATCAGTGCGGTTTCAGGGGATTGGTTCGCAGTGCCTCGTAAGCGACTTCAATGTCTAAGTGCTTATTGATCGAGTTCTGCTTTGAATGCCCCTGAAACCGCACTGATGATGTTGCCTAGTCAGTCAACGAAACGTCTGCATAATAATCACTCAGCTAGGAGAACCGCTCAAAATCCACATCTCTCTAATGTTATTAAACATCTTCACAATTTCTCTTACTATCGGCTACTTCTGATCTCAATGGAAGCAATCCATTATAATGCCTAAGTAAAAGAGTGGTCCGCCAAATGAAATGTCAACCTGCTGCCCTATACATCACACCTCCGCTGCTTCCCAAACCATAGAGAGAATAGTCAAGAAGAACATCGTCAATTTCTATCAAGACTGTATTTGATCAACCCATCACAACATGGCTTTTTCTCAAAACACTCCTGCGTTACCTGCCAGCTACAATTCTTTGACCATGTCACGACTATGGTTGACAGAGGAATGACAATCAGTATAACTCGGTTGGACATACAAAAGGCGTTCAACCACGTGCCGCACAAACCACTGCTGTCTATTCTAGAGTCATATGACATTGGAAATCCTCTGATAACCTGGTTTGACTATTGTCTAAATGATTGAACAAAGGTAAATAGAATCGTTCAGCAATTCTCTATGCCAAAATAAATAACCAGCGGCGTTTTCAAGGGAAGTGTGCTCGGAGCACTACTTTTCCTACTCTACGTAAACAACGCATGCGACCCAACCAAACACGGACGCCCGTTTCCGTCTGCAGATGACGTCAAACTGGTCTACTCATTT